GCATGATAAAGTCGCTCGGATTCGGGATGGCTTGGACTCCGATTGGATGAGTCCAGGGGAGGAGACAGGGGCAGGCCTTGAGAATATTATCTGGGAGGAGTTTGATCCTGTGGCTCCCGAAGATGTGGACAGGGTTCTGGGTAGGATTAGTGCCGCCACATGTTTATTGGACCCGTGTCCCTCCTGGTTGGTACTGGCCTCCCGGGAGGTTACACGAGGCTGGCTCCAGGGGATTATAACTGCTTCTCTGAGTGAGGGTGCCTTTCCCGCCGCCTTGAAAGAGGCGGTGGTGAGGCCCCTCCTCAAGAAGCCTTCCCTGGACCCGGCTGAATTAGTTAACTACCGTCCGGTCTCCAACCTTTGTTTTGTGGCGAAGGTTGTTGAGAGTGTGGTGGCACGACAACTGCCCGGGCACCTGGATGAAGCTATCTATCTAGACCCGTGCCAGTCGGGCTTCAGGCAGGGGCACAGCACAGAAACGGCATTGGTCGCGTTGGTGGATGATCTCTGGAGGGCTCGGGACAGGGGTTGCTCCTCTGTCCTAGTCCTATTAGATCTCTCAGCGGCTTTTGATACCATCGACCATGGTATCATGCTGCGGCGGTTAAGAGGGTTAGGAATAGGGGGCACCGTTCTGCGGTGGTTCTCCTCCTTCCTCTCCAACCGCTCGCAGTTCGTGTTGGCAGGGGGGCAGAGGTCGATCTCGAGGCATCTCGCATGGGGAGTGCCACAAGGGTCGGTCCTCTCGCCCCTTCTGTTCAACATTTATGTGAAGCCACTGGGTGAGATCATCCGTGGTTTTGGGGTGAAGTGTCATCTGTACGCTGATGATACTCAGCTGTACATCTCCACCCCAGACCACCCCAACGATGCCCTTGATGTGATGTCTCGCTGCCTGGAGGCCGTGCGGGTCTGGATGGGGAGGAACAGGCTCAGACTCAACCCGTCCAAGACCGAGTGGCTGTGGCTGCCGGCGTCCCGATATAGTCAGCAGGTGCCATCGCTGACTATTGGGGGTGAATCTTTGCCCCCCACAGAGAGGGCTCGCAATCTGGGTGTCCTCCTGGATGCACGGCTGTCTTTAGAAGAGCATATGACGGCCGTGGCCAGGGGGGGCTTTTATCAGGTTCGCCTGATCCGCCAGTTGCAGCCCTTTCTGGACCGGGACGCCTTGCGCACGGTCACTCATGCCCTTGTCACCTCCCGGCTGGACTATTGTAATGCTCTCTACATGGGGCTCCCCTTGAAGAGCACTCGGAGGCTCCAACTGGTCCAGAATGCGGCCACGCGGGTGGTTATGGGCGCAACTCGTTGTGCCCGCGTGACACCCCTCCTGCGCGAGCTGCACTGGCTCCCAGTGGTCTTCCGGGTGCGATTCAAGGTGTTGGTTACCACCTTTAAAGCGCTCCATGGCATAGGACCCGGGTACCTTCGAGACCGTCTTCTGCCACCAATAGCCTCCCACCGACCAGTCCGCTCCCACAGAGAGGGTCTCCTCAGGGTGCCATCAGCCAAGTTATGTCGGCTGGCGACACCCAGGGGGAGGGCCTTTTCTGTGGGAGCCCCAGCCCTGTGGAATGAACTGCCCCCGGAAATACGCAAGATCTCCGACCTCCGAGTGTTTCGTTGCGCACTGAAGACCCTGTTGTTCCGCCAGGCGGGGCTATCAACTTAATAATTTTAATTGGGGTATTTTAAATGTTTGGGGTTTTAAATCGGCCAAATCTATGTAATTATTTTAATTTTTAATTATTGTTGTGTGTTGTGTTTTTAAATTGGCTGTACACCGCCCTGAGTCCTTCGGGAGAAGGGCAGTATAGAAATAAAATTATTTATTTATTTATTTATTATTTAATAACTTCCCAACTTTTGTGCCTTGGCAGGCAGGCAGGTCTAATTTCTTTCCCAGAAAGCAAGCAGGATTTGGGACATGCAGATGTAAAGTAAGGTGTTCCAGAGGGCAGATATCGTGATAGAATTATCTCAGCCTTTATGGGAAGAAGAGGAAGGTTTATATTCCAAAGTGGTGCCATTGGTGCTTACCAATTTCTTGCCCTTCCTAGTTCTTTATATTAAAAACATAATTTTAGAAATTGGAAGCCCTAGCACATTGAAAAACGAAGAGCCACCCATCAGCATCATATTTATTTACAAAAATGTCTCTGAGTCTGAGCTCCAAAGAGGTCACATACATTTCCTATGGAGATAAAATTATAAACGGATAGTTACAGATTGGCCATGAGCCCAGCTACCTAGAAAATGTTAAGCAAGGATAGTATAGAATGTTATGCAGAATGGGGATAAGAGATTATGGCAGGTAATACCCGATAAGGTGATGTTTGTAAATAGTTATGTCCCCTTTGACAGACATTTTGCGAATGGACATGGAATCTCAGCAGGCATTTTGCAAAAAAAATTATCAAAGTCTTAATAAGCTGAAAGTCTGAAAGGACTAGGACCCCTAGGAGGAGTAACTGACAAATCTTATCTCTTCCACCTGCAGTCGCAGGTCTCCATATTGTTCTTGCAATTCAACAGCTATAAGTAGCAGAGAAGGTTTACCTGATCATTTAAATATTTATTTATTTATTTATTTATTTATTTATTTATTTAGTTATTTAGTTAGTTAGTTAGTTAGTTAGTTAGTTAGTTAGTTAGTTAGTTATTTGTCATATTTCTATGCCGCCCATTCTCCAAGGACTCTGGGCGGCTTACACCAAAGACAGTATACTAAATAGTATATTGCCCCCTAACAATCTGGGTCCTCATTTTACCCACCTCGGAAGGATGGAAGGCTGAGTCAACCTTGAGCCGGTGAGATTTGATCCACTGATCTGCTGAACTAGCAGTCAGCTGAAGTAGCTGCAGTACTGCACCCATAACTTAGAGCTTCCTGGCCTCCTTTTCCTGCATATAACTGGAATCTAGAGTCAAATTAATCTTCCCACTGCAGAGCACCAAGTACTTGGCTTGCGGCCTGCAACGTCATCCAAAACGGCTTGCAGCAACTTGCCTATTTCAAAGCAGTGCTCCCTGCCATTAATCTGCTACAGCAATGACATTATAATGTGTGGTGCATCATTGCCTCTTCCAAGCTACCCTTCAAAAAGAGATACATTGGGTAATTGCTGCCCTCATCGATCAATGTGGAGTTCTTTAAATATGCAGCAACTAAAATCTATTCAGACTTCAATTTCTGCATAGTAGAGTGATAATAATAACAAGAAAAATAGATTTTGGCATGCACCGAGATCTTCTGCAGCTTCAGATTTAATAGATTTTGGCATGCATCGAGATCTTCTGCAGCTTCAGAGAGGACATTGTCCAATAGCTCAGACAAAGAGACTATTAACTTGGACAATTTTAAAGTACAGGATGATCTCAAAATAATATCCTGCATCAGGGATGAAACCAAGGTCGTATGGAGCTAGTCATCTGGATTAGGCAGGGCCCTGTCCTAGAGAAATACTAGCATCCTGTTTGCTTTGATAACAGGAATGATAATGGAAAGGAGAGGACTATATCAGCTTCTACACATACCAAACAGACTTGTGGCTTTCTATGGGAGGCATTAATAACAGTAACATAGTTATTTGCCGCTACTTGGTCCACTTGAGAGCATTTGTTTATTATTTGCTGGCATCTATGAGCTTAAATGGCATTAGCCCACCCCATTTCAAATTAAAACAATCCCAGACACCCTTCTGCCTTTCCTCTTCAGCTCATTTTGTTAACTTTTTTCAAGTAATAAATATAAATGTAGAAAAGGACAGTGGAGAAAATCCAGGTATTTCTGAATGGAAGGGGAAATCTCAGGTGTGTAACAAAATAGAGGGTTTTGGCAATGGTAAACAGCCCCATCCTGTAAATTCAGAGGAAACATTGCAAAACTACTACAGCCTTTTCTCTGACATAACTTCCAGGGTTAATCAGCTCAACCTCCATTAAGCTCTTGAAGCCCCATGGCAAGAGCAATGCAGTCTTTGAAAAGACCCCGACTACCACAAATAAGCATCAAACATTAAATATAAAGGTGTCTTGCATCACTTCAACGCTTATGCCTTTTTTTCCTCTCACAATACATTCCCTACCTCAATGCATAACTGCCCAAAGGATATATCGGATCAGATGAAGCACCATAGTGATCCTTACTGACAGTTTTCCCAGACTGCAAATGGTTCACTCAGAGAATGGTTGTTTGCTTAAAAACCATCTATTAATTTCAGGAGATAGACAAACTTATATGTTTTTATACTTTATAGAATTAGGACAATTAATGGTAGGCAGGCCTTTCAGCAACTATTCCCATAACAATAAAATGGCACTCCCCTATTTGCAGCAGTACACTGTATAGACAAACGTCCCATCCAGGCTCCGTCTGAAAATTTAACCAGAACATCTGGTTGATTACTTGGACTTTTCATGAACTAGGATTCCAATTTCCAGCTCAGTTTTTTAGCTATCTGTGTTTACTTATCTTGTGCTTTAACTCCTCCTGCTAGTGATTCAGCTTTTATGATAACTGAAAAGCTCCAGTGAGTTTGTTGCTTACACCTTTGAGTGCTGCTAACTGGAGGCCCCAAAGTTCTGTTGCTCCTTGTCCCTGAATCAGTATCTACTCATTTTGCCCTTACTGAGCAAGCATTGCGAACAACAAACAAGTTTTTGTTGGTCAGTTCTACTCCTTCTGTGTGGATAGAAACCAAATGGAAAAAGACAAAAATGAAGAAGACAGTGGGACAGAAAGGTTCCACTGAGCCTGTCAGCCATGTAACATTTGAAACCAACACTGGTGAGAATATCCTAACATGCAATCTATTCATTCATTCATTCATTCATTCATTCATTCATTCATTCATTCAATTTTGAGGCCATATAACTCCACTATAACTGTAAACTGCCCAGAATCACTCAGACAGTGAGATGGGCATTGTTTAAATTTGATAAATAAATCCTGGTAGATTACAATTTTAAAAATTAAGAGAAAACAAGATACAATAGCCCTCCACTTACATCTATTTGTTGAACAACCATTTACAATTATGGCAGTGTTGGGGGTGGGGGGAAAGGATGTACCACTTATCCTTGACATTCTGGATATCGCAGCCAGTCAAGTGATCACAATCCAATTGCTCAGGTACCCAGCTCACAATTACAACACTGCAGGGAGCTACAGTCATATGATCACTATTTCCAGTCTTTCCTGTTGGCTTCCCATAAAGATGATTAACTCTGCTGGGGAAACAAGCAGAGAAGGTCACAAATCACTCTGGTAACTCATTTCCATTTTTTCTCCTGCTTGCAGAAGCCATTTGCTTACAAATGGTCTCCCACACCACTCCCAAGACCTCCTGCAACATCTGTGGCCTGTGCTGGCCCTCCTAGTTCCTTCCCCAGTCTCCTCTGACTCACATAAGGCCTTCCCTGGCTCTCCCATGGCCTCTCCCATTCCATGGCACCCCCACATTCCTAACCTGCTCCTCCTCATAATTTAACCACTCAGGAGTCCTGGGGTTACGATGGCAACAGAGACTGCTGGGATTGCTGTTGTGAAGCGGTACAGCTATGGGACATTGTGCTTTATGACCACATCATTTAGCAACAGTTATCCCAATCCCAAATTGCCTTCAAAACTCAAGGACTACCTATAGCAAAAAACATATATCAAAGAAAGAAAATACAGTGGACTAGGTGATAGAATAAAGAATATTCTGTACTGTTTTGTTCTGTTCACTTTCTGTTCTACTCTTCTCTATTCTATTGTTATTACCTGTGTGATAGTATCTAGCCACTGTGTCTTCTGCCAGCCTTTGCTTTTTAATTGCTTTTTAATTTTTTTCCCAAGCATCAAGGACTTCTTCCATGGCTCCTGCCTTTATATTATGTTCCCCAAATATTTAAGATTTAGCTTCATATTAACTTCATGTTAATACTTAAAGCATACAGGCTGATTTTATTTCCTTTAGTTTTTAATTAGTCTTGCAGTCCAAGATATGCTCAACAAACATTCAAAGGCAATGTTTTTTTCTTTGCTAAGTCTGCTTTTGTAAGTCATATCTTGTAATGGCAAACCATGGCCTTGACAATAAGGACCTTTATTATTATCTTGTCTTTGAACTTCAATATTTTTTCTTCTGTCATATTATTTCTTCAAGCAACTGGCATCTCTTGATTTCAAGGCTATGATCACTATCTGAATTCTTGAGCCTATGAAAATATGCTATCACTTCAACTTGCCATATAATGTATTGGCAATGTCTATGATGTGTGTATGTGTGTAGTATATACAGTATATGTGAATATATATAGTATATTTAGTGTTTGTGTGTATAAAATTGTATATACATGTTTATGTGTACGTATATATTACAGAGAGAGTGAGAGAGTACAGCAAACCAGCTTTTCCATTCTTTCTTTCATTTTCAATAAAAAAAATTCTTAAGTCTTTCTTGTTTCCAGCCTTCAAAGTCATAATAGTTTATGCTATGGTCAGACTTCACTATGTTCTGACTCTGCTCATTCCAACTTTTTCCAGACACCACCAATATGGGCTTCTACAGAGTTTGAACTGCTGCACTATTGTAATGGTATTACAATAGATTGGGTACACAGGAAAAACAGCAGCAGCCATTCCTGCTAAGAGTTGGTAGATGAGATATCAAATGGAATAATACCCTTTCCTGGCACAAATACACATTTTTCTTTGTCTATTTATGCTGCAAGGAAAGTTTGAAGGAACTGGATGGAAGGAACTAGCACTTATGGAGGGAGCTAGCAATGAAGCTGATGAGAGCCTAGCGTTCACCTTAATGTTATTGATTCCAATATTGTCCCTTCCCTGCTGAATCTTTTTCTACTGTAACCCCAAGCATTTAATTAACTTCACTGTTCAGTCATACTGAAAATAGCAGGCTAGAAGCCTGGTTTAGTAAACAAACCACATTTTCTAACCTGAAAATTTGCAAGAATGTTTCTATGTTTAATTATGTATCCTTGCTTTGTGCACACATTTAGTACTCTTAGTATTTGCTATATTATGAGCAATTACAAATATAATACAGTGTTTTCCCAAAAATAAGACCGGGTCTTATATTAATTTTTGCTCCAAAAAATGCATTAGGGCTTATTTTCTGGTTAGGTCTTATTTTGGGGGAAATACATCCCCAAATCCATCTGGCTGACATCTTAACTGGGGCTTATTTTGGGGGTAGGGCTTATATTACGAGCATCCTGAAAAATAATGCTAGGACTTATTTTCCAGTTGGGTCTTATTTTCAGGGAAACAGGGTATATATATTCATGCTTTGATTTCTTTGCACTTAGTGATTGGAGCCAAATGTGAATAGGCTTCTATGGTGATATGTATGATTAATATCTTTCGCCAAATCACAAATTGGACTTTGGATAAGTATAAATGCTATGTCATTTCCAATCTCAGATTAATCTCTATTAAAAAGAAGTGGATAGGGAGAACCCAATACAGCTTTTCTTTCTGTTTTGGAAGCTATGTTCCACACTGTGAACAAACACAGGTTGGTGGCAACTCAGGACATTCCAAATATATTCAGGGACACTTATGGATTACTTATATTATAAAATATTTCTACTGTATATATGGAAATATTCTTGAGATAGTTAACAATATTTTGAAACAATAAATTAAAATACCACATTCAGAAACCATACCAAATATTAATAGAAAATATTCACTAAGGAACAATTAAATCAGTGAATACTAAAGCTGAGAAATACAGCTAGTTCTCAACTTATGGCCATAACTGAGCCTAAAATTTCTGTTGTTAAGCAAGACAGATGTTAAATGAGTTTTGCGTCATGTTATGACCTTTCTTGCCATAGTTGTTAAATGAATCATTGCAGTTGTTACATCAGTAACATAGTTGTTAAGGGAATCTGGTTCCTTCATTGACTTTGCTTGTCAGAAGGTGCAAAAGGTAATCCTCGGACACTGCAACCATCATAAATATGAGCCAATTATCAAGCATCCAAATTTTGATCACATGACCATGGGGATGCTGCAACTGTCGTAAGTGTGAAAAATGGTCATAAGTCACTTTTTTCAGTGCCACTGTAACTTCAAAAAGTCACTAAATAAATGGTTGTAAATCAAGGACTACCTATAATAGAGGAATATGCACAATCAACTATCTAAGTACAATTGATAAGATGATCCAATTCATTTAGCCTTAACCCAATTTTGTTTATATATCGATAAATTATCTGTTATTTGGGTATTGCTTATCATTTAGCACATTACTATTATAATAACAATAGTTTTGGGGGATGATACTTTGCATCTTCTGGGGTGGCTAGCCTTTGATTGAACTGCTTTGTTAATGAAACCAATGTGAGCAGACTTTTTTATTTTAAAATATAATATTTATTGAGTTTCCAAGTTAAAAAACACAATACAAAAAAAAAAAGCACAATACACAAAAAAAAAAAAACCAAAAAACTATAAAACACACAAAGACAAACACATCAAAATTACATTACTCATAACAGCTTTTCCTACATCGGTATCTCTTATCCTATTTAACTTCTATATACAGTAGAATCTGTGAGCAGACTTTGAAATGACACCAACGTGAACAGACTATTTGTTTCCTGCTCAGGAAGGCTGAACCATAAAGGTGATGGACAAGACCGTGGTACCAAGTTGCTCAGGAAGGATTTTAGTAAGGAGGAATGTTCATAAGAAAAAGGTACTAGCCAACCTTGCAATCATTAGCTGAACTATGGTTATTCATAAAGATAAAGATGTTAGTTTATCTTGTAATCTTTAGCTTGCAGATTTTAGCAGAAATGTGTTTCTATAAAGATGCAATACAGTATATTGCTCTTAATAGCTGGTTTATAATAATGTGTGTTTCCATGATTTGTTCATGGCAATGTGTGCTTTTCAAATTGTATAAAAAGGATCCACTCCAAGCTAGGTTGTATAAAAATGATCCAACCCCAAGTTAGGTTATCCATTTGGAATTTGCTTCACCACTATCCTTCTATTTGCAAATAAAAGCTTTATTTTCTTTTGCATCTGTCTGGTATGGTTATTGGGCCTGTGTCCCAGGTAAAAGAACCCAAGCTTTCTGGGACAACATAGTATTAAATGATATCTTGGACCTCACTAGCGAGAGGAAACCCCAAAGATAAAGTACGAAATGTGTGAATGCTTTTTTTCCTCCTGCTATTCAAGAGAATTGGGATTCTAGAGAATATTCCTTCCAAAATAACAACAAATTGCAGGGAAAATGCTCCATCATCAAGGTCACACCAAAAACTAAAAGACTGATTTTACCAGACTAAATTAATGATTATCCAGTTTGTCATAGTCTAGAAACAATCTTATGAGAATCATCCAGTTGTTCAGGTTACCTTGGGTATTAGAAATAAAAACCAGCACTTTTAAATGTTCCTGGAAGATAGCCATTGTACATCTTTAACTCCTGTAAAAATTTGTCCCTTGTAACAATAACTAATTACCAGTCAAGTTGTTGAATTTTAACCCAACTCATGTTTTTAAAGGCACCACATTTACAATATAGATTATAATAATCTAGCCTATGGTACAATCGGCAGATATTCTCAGGGGTCTTTACGAAAATTGTGTGATATTTGTTGTTGTTAGTTGCAAAGTCGTGTTCGACCCATCACGACCCTGTGGACAACATTCCTCCAGGCCTTCCTGTCCTCTACCATCCTCTAGAGTCCATTTAAGCTCACGCCTACTGCTTCAGTGACTCCATCCAGCCACCTCATTCTCTGTCGTCACCTTCTCCTTTTGCCCTCAATCTTTCCCAGCATTAGGCTCTTCTCCAGTGAGTCCTTCTTTCTCATTAGATGGCCAAAGATTTGAGTTTCATCTTCATCTGCCTTCTAAAGAGCAGTCAGGGCTGATCTCCTCTAGGACTGACCGGTTTGTTTGCCTTGCACTCCAAGGGACTTCTCCAGCACCATAGTTCAAAGGCCTCAATTCTTTGGCGCTCAGCCTTTCTTATGGTCCAACTTTCACAGCCATACATTGCAACTGGGAAAACCATAGCCTTGACTACACGCACTTTTGTTGCCAGGGTGATTTCTCTGCTTTTTAGTATGTGCGTGAGATAGGCCCATCTTATTGGCCCATCATACAGATAGAGGGAGAGGATTACCTGAGCCTTGTAAGGAAAAATCTAAACAATCCTATTCAACCATCACATTCTACTTTGTGATATACT